AAAAAAAAAAAATAAAAAATAAAAACTGCCTGCCAAAAGAAAAGAAGCCTTAAAAAATTAATAGAAAGTTTTTTTTTTTTTGTGAACAAATAGACAAAGACTGTGAAGAAGTTAATAGTTGAACGGCAAAACAAAGTGAAGAAGTCCGCTTTTAGTCACTGATTTCGTATAAGAGTTATAAGGGGAGTTTAAGCGTGAAATAATTTAAAATAATTGAAATCTGATTATTGTTATTGAATGCTAAGCTACTTCTTCAATAAAATGTGTTCAGTTCTTGCAAGGCGATCAATGCTGAATATTTGGATACTCACTAATCTAAAAAAAGGAGGAAGAAAAAAAATTTTTTGTTTCAAATGTTAGTGCTGATGGATTTTTATCTTGCACCGCGATTTTTTTTTTTTGCTGTGATGCAAGGTCTTTTTTTTTTTGCCTTTTATTTGCAACTTTTTACCACGTGATGTTCAATTAACTAACAATAATAAAATATCAGTTTTGCTAAGAACTATGCATTTTACATTATAAGCGCCTAGAAGACTGCCACCTCAAAAAATGTAAGGAAAATTCTAGCTTGACAATTTTTATTCATATTGTTAGAATTTTTTTATAGCTGATTGAAGCAGTTCTTTCATTCGCAGTGCCTTTGCTTGTATAGTTTCCGTTTTCCTTACTCAGGGAATGAGTGGGATAAGGGAGAGAGCTGTGAAGTGGGCAGTTTGTTGAATTGGTTCCCTCAAATATTGATGAACTCGTTTTCTATCATTCTTTCCTCTCGCACAGTTTTTATTTTATTCTCTTTTTTTTTTTTTCCAACCATATGACTCTTCTTTCTTAAAAATATGCTGCTGAAATAAATTATTTTTTGCTGAGAAAGGATATCAGTAGAATAAGAAGGTGACTATATCAGAAAGAAGGAAAGTAAAAAGCAAAAATTCTGAGTGGTTACTGACATATTGTCTCATTTCAGTATACCATAGAATTGTTTGCCTGTCAAAAATTTTTCCTTGTTTTTATATGAAACGATTGAAGGAACCCAGGCTTACGAGTTTTTTCATCGTATAGCTAGATGAATGTTGTTGTGTATGGATAATAGTTCCTTCTTTTTTTGAAATCTACTGACAGCCTAGCAGGTTCACTAGTAAATTGCAAAAGGTTACGTTGATGGCTGTCACATACGAAAACAGAGGACGTGACAGTGTCAATAAAGAATTTAGTGACCATTTACTTTATTAATGTTTGTATGACTTTACGTGCTTCACTGTTTTGCTGAGATACCCTGTTAATTGAGTAGTGTAAACTTTAAATGGGCATTAGTTCAGTTGCAAATTACTGAGTTTTTTATTCATCAAAATATAGCTGTCCATTAATGAGTACTTTTGCTATGAAGTTTTGTCTGCTACAGTGATTCCTTGAAAAAATTTTAGTAAATTTAGATTTTGAAACATTTTCAAAGTACTCACTGTGATACTTTCGATCACAAAGGTCTCTTTTATTTTTGACCGAGTTGTAGCAGTGGCTTTTATAAAAAGTATTGAAAGGTAGTTGATCTTTTTGTGTTATTCAGTTCGTCTTTTACCTCATTATATTAACTACTGGTACTTATCATGGATGTCCGAAACTGTTCTCGCAGTTGGGAAGGCCAGTGATTGATAGTCGGATAGATGGATACGGGAATTATTTTCCAAAATTTAGTCGATTTTCAAGGAGCAAATTGCTTTCTTTTGTGTGGGATATACCCAAATAAAATGTTGCTGTGTCTGAATTTGCGTGACATAATTTCAGGCTGTTTTTCTTCACTAATATAGCTTATTACATTTTCCTTGTCTTCTTCCTTCTCGTTATTTCAAGTCTCATTCGCAGTTAATATAAGAGGACTATTTCTTAGCGTAGATTATTTTGAGATCTGTAATGTAGTGACGGACGTTTTTGAAACTGTCTTGCTTATCATCACCACTGTCATTGGTAAATTTTTAGAATAGCGTTAAAACCGAGTATGTCCACTCGGAATGGCGTTATTGGACATAACGTTTACACTCGTCCCGAAGTAGACATTGAAATGGGAGACGCTTGCTCTCCATCATCAAGGCAAGTTTTATCTACGCTAGTTAATTGAGCAGGCTGGCTGAGAGAGTCCAATAAATTGTTTTTTTAGTAGAGTATTTTTTAATCACTTCTACTGTATGAGCATTTAGCAGTATTCATTTATATGGCGAAATGGTTGTTAAAATTTTTGTTTAAGTTTTTCCAGATACTTCGATTTTTTTCGAGCTCGATCTCACCACGGCTCGTCATCAAACAGCGATGATTACGTTGATCCTTTAGAAGCTGGTAACTATTGGTAATTAGTTGTCATTAAGGAAGAACTAGGGATTAACGTCAGGGGATTGACTTTAAAAAATTTTTTACAGAGTTGGATCTAATACCACCAACTACTGCACCTCCTCCGCACTGTAAATTTGGTCGATTAATGTCAGATCCATTCAAACCGTCGTCTGGTTGTACTCAGAAAACTAAAATTGTTGTCTTTGAAGACGACGATATTTTTGAAGACAGCGATTCGATGGTTCACCTTGCATACAGGCCTGGTGCGTTATTTTTTTGTTAACAGTCAATAAAATTTAAACAATTTTGGTTTGCAAAATAAACGAATAGTACAGGGCCTATTGGACGTCGAAAATGTTCAAGACATATAAGCGTTTGCGTCGGAGAAGTGCAAAATGGTATTTCACTTCCAAGTGCCGCTCGTAGTTTATCGGGAAACGATCATCTGAAACAGTTGTTTGTGGATACTCGATTAGCCAATCAGACGGCTATAAATGAGATACCGAATGAAGCGACCACCTCGGTAAATTTTAAGCATCTCATTGGGGGATCTGCAGTATCTTAACTTTATCAAGACATATCGTCCATTTGAGCGGATAAAGATAGCAATTGCTTTTGAAGGCGTTACCTTAGAAGTCACTACTCTCAGTTCCTCTGTAAAATACAGCAAAAAAAAAGAAAATTTATATTGTTATTTGTTGAGGTACATTTTGGTCACGGCTTGCTGCTTGAGCTTAAGCTATTCAGATATTTATGAAATTAAGATTTTTTAAACGTCACTTCACAGTTGCTTCAAAATGTATTCTTGCGGAGAAGACTGCTGGTCTTTGAAAACTGCAGTCTTCATTGACAAGTCGCCTTTGTTGTAGTAGACTGATTGCTCCAAAGAATCGTTGCTAGTGGAATGCACCATTTGTTGGGAAAGTAAGCGGGCAGTCATGTTCTCGTTGCGGGGCTTTCGATACATAGTTTCAAAATTACTCCAGACCTTTGAGGATGACCAAAAAAGCATACAGAGATGAGTAGAAAGATTTTGAATGAAAGATGAAAGATGAAAGTTTGCGAAGGATCTGTAAAAGGCGCTTTTTGAATTTCTCGTTTTTGGTTTCATGTCTATTATTAAGCTAGATAGGAATTGTTTGGTCGTTTTTTTTTGTACGATTTTTCCTGCGGAAGTCTTGTTACAACAGTGACTAATCAGATATTGAAAAAGGTACTCTAGCGTTAGAAATGATTTCTTAGTTTCATATGACATTTTATACAACACCTTACCAGATGAGTTGAAAGGTAAGTGGTCTGTATGGGAATTGTTTAGTGAGACATTACAGAAGGTGTAAAAGGCAGATGAGTAGAAAAGCTTAAGCTTTATATCGCCTTATCATTACCACAAATCAGATGCCTACAATAAATGAAACAGAAGAAGGGCACTTAAGTAAGGTGAAAAAGGAGGTTTTGATATCCTGAGTAATCTGATATCAAAGATATGCATCAATGTGTCGGTTATGTGAAAGGTTTACACTTAATGATTTTCTGCAATATTTTGAAGTATTTTTCACCATTAGACAAAAAAAA